GAATTTGTATTTGGCACCCGTACTCAGGCCTCACCACCAGAGCCAGGGGAGGGAGGAGATCGGTGGTGGAGCTGGGGGGGGGAGGAGATCGGTGGGCCCAGCGGCTAGGAGTCACTCAAGTCGCGCCACCGGAGCCGGGGGGGGCTTGGCGGGCCCACATGGCTCACCAACGCCGGGGCGGAGGAGAAGGATTGGCGGGCCTGGTGGCTGGAGGCCGCATGGGCTTCACTGTCGGTGCAGGGGGGTTGGGGGGAGAAGGATTGGCAAGCCTGGTCCTCACCATTGGTGCAAGGGGGGGAGCGGGGGAGAAGGCTCACCTGTGGCTGCTTCCGCTTCCTCCTCCTCCATGTGGAGCTCCTTCCCCCCCGCAAGTATCGCGGGTCCTCCCTTCTTGTACATCCTACTTTTTAATAGCACTGTGTGAACTCTTGTACAGGTTCCTGTGCAAGTGTTTGATTAAAAGCATTGGAAGGTGCTTTCCTTCTACTTTTCCCTCTGGTTTTATTGGAGCCAACCCACTGCCTAGAGAGATCTGGCCATAAAAACAAACTCTTCGATAGGGAAGTCCTTATGTGTCAAATGTTTCAGGGGAGGTTTTTCATGATCTGTTAATCTTAAATGATTTTGGGAGGGTCTGTAGGGCTTCCTTCTCTTGAATTTTCCCTTCCAGGGAGTAAATATTTGTCCCCAAATATGAGGGCAGTTAGCACAAACCTGTGTTATATTTTTCTGTAAAAGGCTTGAATGGGAACTTGTGTTCATAGTCATAATTGAGACCAGAAAACGTATTTTTGAACCTCCCAAAAGCTGTGCAAAGCTTTCCTGCTTGAATTATCTAGATATCCTTGCTACCTTAGTTCCATTCAAGCACCAGTCTGTCAGGAATTGTTGCTCAACACTGCTTTGTTGGGCTCAACTTCTGGCTTTCTGGAGATTGCTTTATTGGCTCTACTGGTATAATTTTATGGGACTGGTAGGTGATTTAATGAGAGGGGGGTATCTGGCATTGCAGTGTGGGTATGTGGGATATGCTTTGTAATGAATGAAGTCTAAATTACATCTTTCAGCTAAAGTGAATCTTCAGACCTTATATACAAATTCGCGTACACAATTGTTCTTAATCAGAACGGTGATGCAGAAGAGTGGGGGCTTATGAGCTATTCTGCACAAACAATCATTGCCTAAAGTGAGGGGCCATATCAGTCGCAATGATGCAATAGACGTGGCTAACTTTACACTAGTAAATAATTAAGACAGGTCTTGGTTACCTAGTTCTGTATCTGGAAGCTGCTTGTGACTACACAAGCTCCAGGTGCGATGAATCAAGTCACTTTTCACTGAAATGTTTCCTGTTGTGTTTTACTTATAGAGCTACCTTTTGTATAGAAACAAACCAAAACCCTGGAATAAATGTACAAGCTATTAGGTATTCCACACTTTCACTAGAACTTTTTGTGTCTGCCACCTAGTTACTATTTCTCTGCTTTTATTATAAATCTATGGATACGTGAGCATTTCCAGGTGTGTCACACGTAGAATCCTTTGGGGATTGATTAATTGTGCTCAATCATCAAATGGGAGGTGGGGAACAGGCTTTCATTTTAAAGTCAGTCTGGGAAGTGCCTGAAAACTTGCAGCCAAAAATGTTAACACATGGGAAATAAATGCATGAAAACCAGGATCTGTTCCAAGATCATATGTTAAAATATCAAACAAGTTGAGGTGTTCAAGTTTAAGAACAGCATTATAACAGGCAAGGACCTGCAAAATTTAGTGTGACGTTTATTATTGCCTTGGAGAGTTGCAGTTACATGTTTAAGCCCATGAGCCTGGAGGAGAGTTCCATGTAGACTTGCTGACTCCTTTCCCCCCTATCTGTCTATTGATTTTTAACAACTCCATACAAAGAAAAACTTTGTATATTTTCCCACACATACGTGTTGGTTAATTAAAGTATCAGATCAGGGCACTGCTATAAGTTTACTGGTTATAATATGCATAGTAGGCTATCCATGTGAAAAATTTATGTTCCACCTGAGCTGGCATGACAGTTTTAAAAGCAATAGTGCTACTCTGCGTGGCGAGCTTAGTGCATGTGTTGTAGAGTTTCCACTTCATAAGCAGGTGCATTTGACAGTAACTGCACCACTCTTGTATCATACTAAATGATCCTTATGTTCTCAGAGGTGAACTCATCTTTTCTTACCCGTCTGATGATATATTTGTATATTTGGTAGGCGTGCAGCTGATAACAAGATTCTACCTTTCCCCCTACAGGTGGCTTAGGAACATTCCATGGTATGATAAATGCTATTGTGCATGTCATAATGTATACCTACTACGCCCTCAGTTCACTGGGACCATCATTTCATAAGTACTTGTGGTGGAAAAAACATATGACATCTATACAACTTGTGAGTAACTTTCAAATTATGTATAGAGTAGTTTTTTTCAAGTATTGTCTGCATGTGGCTTGGCTCCAGTGGTAACCTTCTGCTAATGGAAGGAGGGCAACGTTTGCAGATTTCCCCATATCTACTGCAGACATGCCCTTGTGCTGTTCCTTAGGGCTCCTTGCCTCACAAGAGCAACATTTGGGGCTGCAGTGGGATGGGGTGCCAAGAAAGCCAAGTTCTGCTGACAGAAATCACCATTGTATCCCTCTCTGTCAGTGTTTTGTATACCTTGTTTGTAAGCCATACAAGACCTTAAGAAGATACCTGAATACATTGTATACCCATTGGCTTCTACCATTCAACCTGGCTCATCCGGAAAGGAAGATTACATCTCTTTAAACTATAGGTCATGAATATAAAAATAAAACCTAATTTTGTAGGATTCTTTTCGAGTCCTGTGTGCAACCCTGTAAGATAGGCCAGTGGAATCCCAGGATTGCAGATAGAGATTTAAAAAACTTACCAAAATCCTTAGTTTACTTTTTTTGACAATTTGAAAATGGCTTACAAATTAGGAACAATAAAAAGAGTATAAGCAATCCAGATCTAAAAATACCATTCTGAATTTAATTTTTTCTAAATTCTTTTAAAATGACTAGATAGAGGGAACAACGGAAATCTCCCTGAGATGGTAGATGCTGCCACGCATATAGGCTGTGTCAAATGATCTTAAAGGGGGGGGGGGTAGGTATCACATAGGAGTAGATGCTGTCCCACATACCATGGTTCTAAAACTTTTAAGGTCTGAAAGCCAACACTTTAAATTTGGCCCAGCAACATTCAGAAAGCCAGTGTAGCTTTTTCAACAATGGGGAAATATTTATCTTGTCTATGTGAGGGTCCAGGAAAAGAAATGGGAATTAAAAAACAAACAAAAAACCCCCCAACCTGGAAAACTTGGGGGAACAACGAAAAGAAACTCCTGTGAGATCATTTTCTTTTTAAAAATAGTAAAATGCTTCTTAAGAAGTTTTCACATACTGAATATATAGCATGAAAGAGTTTGAGGGTTTTTTACAATTTTTCCAATGGGAAAAGAAGAATTGGGAAATATTGAGTGGGGGGGGGGGACACTATAAAATGTTTTCTCTTTTCAAGTGAGAAAAACCTTGTCTTACAAAGCATTTCACTTATTCTACATGTAGAGCATGAAAAATCTGAGGATTTTCTCAGTTTTTCTAATGGAAAAAATTGGAAAATTTGGAGGAACACTGGGAAAAACTCTTCTACTATATATAAAAAATCTTAACTATTGTACATAGTTAAATGTAATAATGTTGGCAACAAGTAATATGTTATAATATGTTTATTTATTTATTTAATTTCATTTATACCCCATCCTCCCCGCACGCGGGCTCAAGGTGGCTTACACAGGCACAAAAGTGCGATAAAAATACAACAAGGTAAAACAATTAAGGCACAAGTGCAGTAAAAGTCAACAGTTAAAACAGTTTAGGCAAAAATGTACATCTCACAGGATACATAACGACAATACTTACTCCCTATTGCATATCCCAATAGGGTCAAAAAAAAGGGGGGGGGGATGCCATGGGCCACGATATTTCAGCTGGCCAATCAGCCCGATGCGGCGGAATTGCTCTGCAGTCGCACGGTGATGTTAGTGGCGGCGGCTCCTACTCAAAAGCCTGGCGGAAGAGCTTCTTGCAGGCCCTGCGGAACTGTACCAGGTCCCTGATCTCCTCCGGGAGCTCATTCCACCGGGTAGGAGCCGCCACCGAAAAGGACCTAGCCCTTGTGGCCACAAGCCTGGCCTCCTTGGGGCCCGGGGTCACTAGGCGGTGTTGTGACCCCAACCAAAGTGCTCTTTGGGGCCTGTGTGGGGAAAGGTGGTCCCTCAGGTATGCCAGATCCTGGCCATGTAGGGCTTTAAAGGTAAGCACCAGCACTTTGAAGCGAATCCGGAAAGCTATAGGCAGCCAGTGCAGCGCTTTCAGCACAGGTTGGATGTGGTCCCATCTAGAGGCACCCGCTACCAACCTGGCCGCCGCATTCTGCACCAGCTGCAGCCTCCGAATTTGCGACAAAGGCAGCCCCATGTAGAGAGCGTTAGAGTAGTCTAACCTCAAGGTGACTGTTGCATGGATCACTGTGGCCAGATCGCCCCGGCTAAGGAAGGGGACCAACTGCCGCACCAGCCGTAGATGATAAAAGGCTGCTTTGGCAGTGGCCGCCACCTGGACATTATTAAATGTTCAGTATTTTCATAAACATAATTTCTAAACATGCTGGCAGTCCTACCTTTTGACTCAGAGATTCTGCCCAAACAATACAATCCCTTTTGTTTGCTACAAAATTTGCTTTTCTACCTTGATTTTTAATTTTGCCTACCTTTCTGATGGCAAACATTAAAGATGTGTGTGCTGTGGTTGCATTAGGGTGAAAGCATTTTGCAACCTGTTCTCAAGTATCAGCATATTTGCAGTTTTACTTACAGAAAATGAAGATATTTATACTTCTAAATTCCATAAATATGGGAAATAGCAGAATTTTATATGCTGATAGATGATGCATTTTATGGTCAACCAGTAAAAGATTTTTTGGTTCAATAGGAACTAAGTATTCCATATATTCAATTCCTCCAAAAATTTCCATTGTGTGTGTGTGGGGGGGAGACAGTTGGAATCCCTCCCTCCCTTGTGCCTACAAAATTTCTGGAAATTTTACATCTATATCCGTATCAGACAGCAGTTTGTGCCAACTGAAGTTTCTGAACAGTTTTCAGGGGCAACTCCATGTAGAGAACATTGTAACAAGTTTATCTAGAGTGGGGGTGGCCAAACCGCAGCTCGGGAGCCACATGCGGCTCTTTCACACATATTGTGCGGCTCCCGGCTGGGCAGCTGGGGAAGCGAAGAGGAGGCATACTTTTTCTCCTTCCCTGCCTTCCCCCTCCCTCCTATCTATTTGCTTCCTTGGTTCTCTCTCTCTTTCCACCTCTTTCATTCTTTCTTTCCACCTCTCTCCCTTTTTCTGTCTCTCTTAGACAAATAAATATCATTATCAATATCTGTTTCTAACCCTTCTGTTTTTAGTTTTAGCAGTCTCACTTAATGTTAATAAAAAGCAAATTTGCCTATTTTTAAATAAAAATGTGTATGTAATGTTTGTTCATGTCTTGTGGCTCTTAAACAACTGATGTTTGTTCCTCGTGGCTCTTCTGTTGAGCAAGTTGGGCCACCCCTGATCTAGGGGGTAATGCTGAAGCTTTGGGATAGAAGCCTGCTTAATCTACAAAGCCAACAATTATGACCCACAAATTAAAATGTAAGCGCAAACAATGATAAATGTTTACTGAAGCTCTTAAGGAAACACACAATCTGAGTTTATCAAAAATGGCTCAAACACCAAACCATGCTTCAACTTGGCTCTAGAAATTTTAACCTAAAAGTAACTTGCCTAAGTTTATCCAGTGAGCTTCATGGCACAGTGGGGATTCAAACCTGGGTCTCTGCAATCCTTGTCTGATTCTCTGACCACTATACCATGGCTAGCCCTCATGGTCTACTGGTGCGATTCAGTGCAAGCCAAATAAGGGGACAACATAGTGTTCGGTGTTTCTAATTAGATGTATGTTCATTACACTTGACCTGCTTGAAAACAATACAAGAATTAACAGGAAGTACATAAATGGATTATAACAGGTAGTGCATGTGTACACCTACCATGCAGTTGCAGGGAAACTGCACCTCATTGCTCCTTCCTTCCCAGTACAGAGGTGGAAGATTCCTCATCAGCTCTTACATGGAAGTGTTTTCTGCACAAGAGCTTAGTACTGTATGAAACCAGCCTTACTTTCCAGCCCCAGAACTCAATAAGCATGATGGAAATCTAATAAATGTTTAAAAGGGGAGGTACACACTTGAATGTAATGTGTTCTTAAAAATACTTCTGATATTTAACTGTATGTTTCACTTTGCCCATTGTTCCTAATGGTGCCTCTACACGTTTTAAAGTTTGTTTAAGCATGAATGAATGTCTTGGTACGAGAGGAAAAGGGGAATCCTAGCATTCTGGATCACAAAGTAAAGTGAAATGATTTATCCAACTGCCCTATATTGCAAGAAATGTTTGAATTTTGTAGAATTGTCATGCAATCTGATGTTTTGTGTGGAAACATGCTATTCGTGTTCTGTCTTTCCCCCCTCTGTGCTTTAAGTCTGGCTAAAACAAAAACATAACTTGATTTTGCATTTTTCTGTTCTAGATCCAGTTCATTATGGTTACCTTCCATATAGGACAAATCTACTACATGGATAACTGCCCATATCAATATCCCATCTTTATGTTCATCATTGGGTTATATGGACTGGTGTTTTTAATCCTGTTTCTACACTTCTGGTACCATGCTTACACTAAAGGCAAGAGGCCCCCAAAGTGTATAAAAAATGGTATTGGCAAAAACAAAGCTGAATGAAGTGCTCTGCCACAAACTGAGTTTTTTTTGACTTGTACTACTTGACAATCAAGATGTTTAGGTGCTCAGTACCCTGTATGTTTTGTACATGTTTTTCCGAAACAACAAAAAAAAGCCTTGTATTTTTATTATAAATTATTTGGGATTTAATGTTGATGTGGGAGGGAGGGAAAGCCTACTGATTTGAAAACACTGGCCTGTCATTTTAGCAACTTTGCACATATGAGAAATAAGAATTAAAGAAATGAAATGAATGAAACAAACAATGGATGTTCATTGGAAAACCTGGCATTTGTATATATTATAGAAATGAAGTGTGTCTGACAAGTATATGGTAATACTTTGAGCACTGATAAGATACATTGGTTTTAACTGGCCTCTCATGTTGCTAAGACTGTATAGGCTGTTTTTAATTGAAATGGGATAAAATTTAATGAACACTTACGGACCATAAATATCACTGTTAATACATTGTCTGTAATTAATGTATTTTGTACAAACTGTACCATATTAAAGTCCAAGATTCTTAAGTCTGCAAAATTCTTGTGTTAATAGGAAAATATCTTGCTGTATGAGAGAAGGGTTGCCTAGTAAGCTGTATTAGGACTGAGGTTTAATACGATAAAAACGGTCATTAATACACTGAGCAGTTTGAATAGCAAAGATCCAGTGCTGTAAATGGGAGAATAGAAGATCACTGCACCATCGAACTATTTTGTCATCAAAATAGAGATACTTTATTATAGTCTTGCTGCATCAAAGCCTCCCACCCCCGTGGCAGCAGAAGTGTGATAATTAATTCTTCCGCCTTCTCTCGTGCCTCCTTTCATGGTGTGGCTCTAAAATGATGAGGGAATACAATTTTAAGGTCCTGTAAGACTCCTCCCCTGGTAACCCTGCAGTCTGCGGATCCCTCCCAGAGCTAACCAATCCTTTGCACCGCTAAGTCGAATTAAAAAACCTGGTTTAACAAACTGATGCTGCTCCTCCCTCTGCGCTTTCTCTTGCACGGTGCTATTCTATTGAACGGGAACCGCCAGGGAAAAACTCCCTACCCGCTCTGCCTATGAATTAAAAGTGGCATTTAAAACAGCGTGAGACTGTTATGTCCCCAACGCGGAGGGGGGGGGGGGTGCCGAGGAAGGCGAGTCTTTTTTAGGTGCTTACCTGCAAAGAGAAACCTTCTTTAAAAAGCTGAGCCCAGAGCGAGAATGCGCCCCCCTACGAACCTCAGGCATTCCCCCAAAGTCAGATCCAGGTAGTCAGCCGTATTGGTCTGAAGCAAGTAGAGCAAATTCAGAGTCCAGTGGCGCCTTTAAGACTAACAACGTTTATTCAAGGTATGAGCTTTCGTGTGCATGCACACCTTTTTCAAATACCTCCCAAAGTCAGTTTCCCTCGTCATACCCTACCGTCGGGATCGTTTGGATCAATCAAGGGTCACCAGGCAAACAACTCTTCTGGGCAGACCGTTTGCTTATGGGGGAGGAGCGCGCTCGCGCGACACCGTTAAACGCTCCGTTCTAAGAAACACGTGGGCGGGGTTAAATGCGTCTCGGAAAAAGCTGTCTCCAATGGGAAGCCTCCTAGAGGCCCTGTGGCTGCGATTCGGACCAATCCGAAGAAGGCCGCTGCTGATTCAAATTCTTGCCTGGGAAGTAGGTATATTGTTGTCGGGCTGGTCTCCGTGGAAACGGGCTGCGGAGGGAGTCCCGTCGTGGAGGCCGATGGAGCCTCGACTGGTGGAGCCTGGGCCCTACCGAGCGACGCGGCTGGTGAGTGAGCGAGCGAAGGGTGCTGAGGAACGTGCTTTTTTCAAAGAAGCGGCGCCGCGGCCTCCAGTTCATTCAGGAGTCTCGTCTTTCGAGCCAGAGGCTCTTATTTCCGGGGAAGGGGGTGAGAGTAGGAAATGGATGCCAGTCCCCAGGTGCAGGCAGGGGTTCCCCCCCACGCTGGTCAGTGGGGGGAAAGCACTGCCCCCAACAGTCGTCTGCAGCCCCGTTTTAAATCGCGTGCGCCTGCCCTGCAAGCAGCAAATTCCCTCCTTGCAGGCCATGCACGCGCGGCGCCCGCTCTTTCCAAGCGGGGGCCGCCGGATCCTGCCCTGCAAGAGGCGAGTTTTCCTCTTGGAGTGCAGGCGAGCTTGGTTCCCCCCCCCCCAAACCATTTAAAGGGAAGGTTCAGGTAGGGAAGGTTCCCTTTAAAGATTTTTTTGAAAAGGGGAGATCTGCGCGAGCTGTGTCTGGGAGGGGATCGACACGCCCCCTGTTGGAACCGCCCCCCTAATCTCCCGGTCCGGGGGAGAAGATTGCACCTGGCAACTGTAGGTGAGAGCAATGCGTTCTGCTGCAGGGGGATGGATTTTGGTAGGATTGCCAGTTTTGGGTTGGAAAATACCTGGAGATTTTTTTGGGGGGAGCCTGGGGAGGGGAGGGACTTCAGCATGGCACAATGCCATTGAGTCCACCCTTCAAATCAGACATGCTCTCTGGGGGAACTGATCTCTGTAGTCTGTAAAAACGGGAGAGCTCCAGGCCCTACCTGGAAGCTGCTGTTACCAAATGTGTTAAACTCCAAAAATGAGCTGCATCCCAGAAACTCCCAAATCATATAAAAGTACCACCAGCAAGAATTAACAATTGAAACTCTATCGCAAACAATACAACACTGTAGTCAAATACAACACCAGTATCAATGAACTCACAAAAATTGAACTCACAAAAATTCCAAGATTCCAGTTGCCAACTGACCATAGGATGTAGTTAAACAATCAAACCAATGGCTGAGACACTTGGGAAGAATAACATTCAAAATTACAATAACAATGCAGAGTAATTACATTCAGAAATAACAGTAACAATGAGGAGTAATACATTCAGAGATAACAGTGACAGCAATACAAGCATTGTATTATTATAGCTTTGGAAAATTTTGTATTTGTATTATTATATTGTATTGTTATAAAAATTGTATTATTATAGCTTTGGAAAAAGTGCAGAAAAGGGCAACTCGAATGATAAAATGGTTGGAACACTTTCCCTATGAGGAAAGGTTAAAGCGCTTAGGGCTCTTTAGCTTGGAGAAATGAGGACTGAGGGGTGACATGATCGAGGTTTAGAAGATTATGCATGGGATAGAGCAGGTAGGG